CCAGGAATAAATATCCACTGCCTCATGAAAAAAATGTGCCCCATGTGAAAAGTTGTAGTGTGTTTTTGTTTCTTTTTTAAAACTTGTTCTAATAAAGGGGAAACATTTTTTTAAAAGGGATAAAAAAAACAGCTTTTCTCCACCAGGTAGTAATGCATTTCAGGCTGCAGCACAATAAATAAACAATAAATAAAACAAATCATCCCATAAATAAAAACACGTGATTAATAAAACTGAAATCAGTAAAAAGACTGGTCAGGAAACAAACAAGCAGGCAGTGCTTACATGTGATTCACAGATGATCCTGCTCACTGTAGTGGATGCACTTAGTTTTTAAGGTTCAGCTCTTTAGACCTGTCAGTACCTACATATGAAGTATTAGTATACATTTGTACCACGTCCTTCTCTCTGTCCATTCGCTCTACTTTTTACAATCACAGCCTGGATTTAAACTCTTTACACTTTCTTCACAAGTGTACTTTAAGAGGGGAGCAAAGAAGACACTGGTGAGCGTAAATACTCTGTATCTCATAAGAAGAGTCAAGAAAAGCAAAGATCAGAGGGGCTGTGATTTCCAACAACAAATGGCTAAAATATCTAAAGGGAAGAAAATAAAGGAAAAAATACAGTAACTGTGCGAGTGGCTGTTCGTACACCCAGAGAGGGTTTTTTTTTTTTTTTCTTTAGGGACACTGGCATGTATTCGCAGTAGAATAAGTGGATCAGCGCATACAAAACGCCACTTTATAACCTCTTAAAAGCAGCCAACTGAATGTGTGCTATTCTAAAATAAGATGCTCTTGATTTTAAGTACCTTAACTTATAGTTGTTGTGTACAAACATTCAAGATAACAATAAAGTACCTAGACAAGTTAAATCCACCATGGCTCCAGTCCATAAAAGGTACAAACTACTTGGACAGAGACGGAGAGACTTGGAAAGACTCAGAGCATAAAAGCAGTTTGAACCTTTCATGGAAGAGATTCATTTTTCTTGCGAAATCAGTTTTGATCGTGATGATTTTTTTTGTTTGGTTTTTTTCATGCTGAAGTAACAAACCGCGTCACGTCAGCCTGCGCCGGCTCACAGTCTGTGTCTGCGGGGTTCGGAGCGCGGCGGGGAGGGGGGCGGCGGGAGGGTGACCGTGGTGGGGGACTCGGCCGGGTCGTCCATGGGCAGGACGAGGCGCGTGCCGCGGATGGCCACGTCCTGCTCCGCCAGGGCCAGCTCCTGCTCCAGGCCCTCGTTGAACTGTCCTTTCCGGGGACCGCCCGTGGAGTGGCGCTTTGCGTCGGTGGTGCGGGATCCGGACGCGTCCGTCCTGACGGTGACGTCGGCGAACATGGAGCTCACGTTGACGTCGTTGAAGATGATGTCGTCGTCGTCGTCACGGAGCTGCCCTTCGTTCTGGTGAGCGGAGAGGGAAAAGACAAAAGACAGAGGGGCTTCAGACTTCCGACCGCCTGTTTGCTTTTCTGAAATGTCAGTCTGTGTGAGCATCCACGTCGTTAATGAAGTGCAGTGAACTGAGCGTTATGTCCAGACCTCATACGCCTGGGGGCTGGTGAGGCATCGTGCCAGCGGTCCACAGCAGGCGGGCAGCGTGGCAGTGAGAGGCGGACCAGTGTGGGTCAGGAGCGGTTTCAGATAACTGAAGAGCAATTTTCTGTCAAAGAATTAACTGTTTAAAACAACCCTCCTTTTAGATAAACAGCCCTGTTAGTGAGGGATCTAATGCCTACCATGTTTGTGTAACTTTATCTTTGCCTTATCTTCTGGCTTAATTACATTTAAAAATCTTTTTCCTTTATAGATACATGTTGTGGACCTATCTGAGCTCCAGCCCTGATATGGGAGCATATTGAACCAGAGCCCCCTCTGCTGTTCGAAGCTGAACACAACGTCCACAACTGGCCCAAAAAGGATACTTGTGGTCGAAGTTATACCAGATCCTGAAGGGCCATGCGCTCTCGTGTTTGGTGCTCCTCCTCTGAGACCCATCCAGAGCAGCTGAGCTCTGTTAAACAGCAATATGACACTTTCGTTTAGCCCACATTTACATTCCTTCATATGGCGAGGAAAATTATTAAGGGGTGCTGAAATCAGCCAAAAAATAATCACTCACAGAGTGCTCTTGGTCAGAATCCACACCCACTCTGAAAAGGAATAGAAACTCTTGAAAGTCACACAGGAAGAGTCCGACAGAAACACATGCAAACGGATGCCCGGCCTTACCGTATGCTCATGAAAGACAGCATGGGCGTGGTGCCCCCCCCACAGACCCAAACCGTGAAGAAAACAATCAGCAGGGTGGTGGAAAACATCATTTGACGGGCGTATGTTGCCGTGTCTCTGATGGAGAGAGCAAAGGTCATCGCCCCACGCAGACCTGGAGGAGACAGAGGAGGGGACTCAGAGATGCCAGCACCGGTGTGAGGGTGTACAGCCGTTCACACGGTCTGCTATTGTTACCATAGTTACAGTCAAATTCATCTACGCTTTTAAGAGCGCGTTAAACCCCACTCAGATTTTCGGCCCGATTCAAACCGGGAAGCAGTGGGTTTGAAGATAGAAAAAGCAAGTGCACGGGGCGTGTGGGGGATTTCTATCATTAGCCCGTTTCCAGAGTAACAGGCAGCTGAAGTGGGCGCTGCGTTTGGTGACAGCGCTGCCTGAAACAGACGGCTGCGTACCTGCGAACATCATGACGTGCTGAAAATTCGATCTGATCTTGTTTTTGCGGCCCAGGTTGAGCAGGAAGGACAGGGGGTAGATGTTCGCCGCCCGGCCCAGAAACACCGCCAACTTGGCAGCACAGCAGGGTCAAGGATAACCCGGACGAGGGGCAGCACAGCAGGTGCACGGCGGTTCCGGTCAATGCTAGACTAGTGGTCCTTTCAAATGTAGCCTCAACTTTTCATTTGCTTGGGCTGTTTTCTAATGCCAACAATGAAACTGTTGAAGCAGTATTTTATCAGTATCCGAGTCAGTTTATGAGCACAGACTCAATCTGCTCCGGCTCGATTTAACAGACACAATACTGAATTCAGCCCCTGTGTGACTGTGACTGAGAATAAATATGTCACCTAAAGAACAAATCAGATCGAAGTCCAAAAAGAGCTTTAAGGGGTGAAGTGAGACTAAACTCAATGTCATTGTAGGACCGAGTAAAGGATACGAAGGCTCCAATGATGAACAGTGGGTTAAAGACGTGTGACTGGAAGGAGAAGAGAGTCAGGCCCATGTAGGAGAAGATGAAGTTCTCTGCCAGGAAGTTGAGCAGCTCAAACAACTGATGGGAAGGAGAAAAAGACAAAGGTAAGCTGTATAGATTTGACTTGACATGGCATCCTAGGAACACACTGAGCTCTCATAAAAAGACTTGAAAATAATTTTCTACTTCCACATGACAATCTTGTGCAACATTTAGTGTCCCAGAACTTGTGGCTTTTAATCAAAAGTAAATCGTTTCCTTTTTGAACCTCATTATAATGTTTACTTGCACCACAAAGTCCTTAAATCGCCACATCTATTAAAGGATCTATCTTACTCACACACACTTATCTTGCATCATGTAACCCCGCTAAAATCTGACATTATTTCACCCCAGTTGTTAAAAAAAAACAAAAAAACATCTGAGTTTGGTCGGTAAAATACACAACCGCAAGCTCTATCAGGCATCAGGACACTACCGATACGGCCTTAGGATTTCTAAGAACCATCTGATGAGTTAAAAAAAAAAACCTGACCAACATCCTCTCTTCTGAGTAATTGCATTTCAGCGGTAGTTCTCTTTTTCTGCTTTCCGTCCGTTCGTGTTAAATAAAAATCTGAAAAAAGCGTTTTTTTTTGTTTGTTTTTTTTTAGAATGGAAGGTAACCTCTAACAGCACAAAGAGACGTAGTGGCTGAGCTGCATTTACTGCTATGGGGTGAAGCTGTTTGTATAGAGGGAGGAAACAGCAAAAGGTCGAGGTTAACCTGTTTGGTCCGGTCTTGAGATTCGGGGGAGAGATTGTTGTAGGTGTAGTGGGCCTGAGTGATCCCACAGAACAGCACCGCGACAACACCTGCAAAACAGCACGCATTGTTTCACCATCCCCTCGTAGCTCTCACACTCATCTATTTCAGTTAGGGCCATGCAAGGTTCTTTTAAAAGGTCACACTTAATTTCCCCCTCCGAAAAAACCCGAAGGCTGAAATGTCAACAGCCGAGGACAAAGGTGAAAATGGTTCTGCTGCTTGAATAGCATGCATGTGTCCTCATTGCAGGGGCTTACCTGTGAAACCACAAGCCTCAGCCAGCAGAAAGGTACTCCAGGACATCAGGAAAAAGAGAGCCGTCTCCAGCAAAGGAAAGTCCCTCAGCTTTGTGAACTTGGTCACGTGAGTGCAAATTAAGGAAATTAAGTCAAGACACATTACCTTATATACCTATATGGCAATAATCTAAATATATAGTTTTGCTTACAGTGGCTAAAACATATGTTAAGCATTAAATAAAAGGATATGAAAGCTGTCATAACTCCAGTTGCAACTCCAAGAGCAAAAGATCCACTGAAGACACCCAAGAAGATGCCAAAGGATTTCAGTAAGGCCATGGCCTCGAAGCTGTGACTGTTGTCGCCTGCAGGCTGATAGGCCACGATGGAGCTACGGGCAAGTGGAGCACATATAAACATTTAAATGAAAAATGGAAGTGGGCTCCTCCCGGGAATTCAGGGAGTTCCAAAGTCAAACGCATGCTCTCTTTTAGTCAAAACAGAAAGATTTCAGGCATCAAACCAAACCAGGAGCAACAACATGGCTAAGCTTAAAGGACTTCTAAGGAGCTTCATAAGAGTTCAAAATGACAGAACTGCAATCACCTGGACTGGAGCTGGGTTTTACTGCAATAAAAAAGGAGCAAATGCTGCATGCTGAAGTCTCATTTAGTGTCAATTTTACCAAAGCAGACATGGTTGGGGAATAGCTTAGATTTATTTAGAGGAAATAAAGTATGGCTATTCTTCATCCTATGCGGGGGTCTACGAAGCATAAAGAAAACTTAAAATGGTAAGAAAGGGATGCAGCTGCAGGGGGAGGTTGAGGAGTGTAGTCAGGCTAGCTCAAACATCTGCATCACATCAGCCGAAAAGGTTCTAACACCGGTCCACCGACCCACCCACCGAGGGGTAAATGTCACATTTCCTCCCAGCCATTCCTCAACCCCCTCAGACAAGCCTGAGCTATCCTCTCCTGAGGAGTGGACAGCTCCAGACCCACGTCTGCCCTCTTTTTCCAGGCGGAGGAGGACGCTGCATACATACGTACGTACGGGCAGGTGGTGAGAGACACAGACGGGCGGAGAAAGGCAGGCAGTGAAATGACAGGGATCAATGTTAGGATGGTTACGTCACCTCACGTGGAATGCACACCATAAAAAGCCTCTTAAGTTATTTCAGGTCACATTTTTAAGTCCCCTTCCTGATACACTGTGTAGGGAAGAGTTTAATCTTTCTATTTCCTCTTTGTCGTCACAAGATAAAATGGTATCAACTAAAAACTTGTTTGGAGACACAGTGACACAAAGGGGAAGTGAAGGTGTTGTGCGTTATTGGACTTACGAGGAGAGGACGATGGCCACGGCATCATTGAGGACACTTTCACCAAACAACAAAGCATACAGGTCGACGTCTACCTTCAGCTCGTTGAAGATAGCCAGCACTGTAACTGAGACACACAGAGGGACAAATACACCTCAGGGTTGTACCAACTCCAGTGCAGAGCAGGTGGGCAGAAAAATGGTAGAAACCATGTTTGCATTCATTTTTAATGCTGGGAATCTGGTTGCTGGCTTCTTTTAATATTGCATACGGTGCTGCTTTGAGCTGTCGTGGCACGCCTTACCGGGATCTGTTGCTGAGACAATGGCTCCAAAGAAGAGGCAGTCAGTGAAGTAAAAATCCCCCCCGAGCTGGCCCACAACTTTCATGAAGGACACAAAGCCATACATGATTAGCCTGAAAAGAAGGGAACAAGTGGAGGGGGCATCAGGACACTGGCAGCTCACACATTTGCTTCTAACTGGCTCTGAATGTTCCCATGTTAGGCTCACTGATGAAAATGACAAGACTTACCCAATAACAAAGCAGGATATGACTGTTCCCATAAAGGCGTAGGCCAGGATGGAGCCAATGTTTCTGAAAAAATGCCTCTGAGGCAGGTCAGGGCAAGAGATTAGGCTAGTACAAGAAAGTCACATGAATACATACATATTATTCAAATTTGCTGATTGCAAATGTGATCCTCAATTCTATAGATGATTTCGAAACACTTACCCTTTTCAGGCTGTAACCGGCATGGAAGATTATGGGAGGCAGCAAAATGTTGAAGAACACCTCCGGGTCAAAGGTAACCTGTCGATAGCAGCAGGCTAAAATTTAGCATACGCTTATTTGACTGCAAAGCCCCCCGATCTTAACACCTTTCCAGCTTTCTTTAGATGTTTTTGATGCAATGCTGATTGCAGCCTACAGTTAACTCTACGTTTACAACTCGGTTTTAATCACAGAATTCAGAAGTTAAATGTTCCTCTTGACATCCTGTCAGTTGTGTGAGGGATATATCTACATGCTGATCCTCCACTTGCCTTTCGCAGCATCTCATCGTCTTGGACTTGGTGGCCTTTGCCCCGGCTGACCTCCCCCCTCAGGGTGTACTCGTAGAATCGTCCACTGACGTTGACCAACAAGGTGGCAGGACTGGCATTGACAGCACAACTGAGGACCACGTCGCTCAAGCTCTGGGGTACATGGACGCCAAAGCGTAGGATCACACCCACCAACAGGCCTTTTGGGTGGAAAAGACAGACGGAAATAAGGCAGTGCAGGTCATTCATTTGGACCATAAAGATGTCCGTCTTGTTCTTTCAGAATACATCATTGACATTTGCGTGATTTTAAAACAAACAGCTAAAAGAAATTATAGCAAAAACAAGTTGGTCAAACATTGGTCAAGCTGTTTTTACCCCTAAAGGTAGAGTCTTACATCTTTATATAAATTAATAGCTCATCTAAAAGAGTTCATCAACAGTATATTTATCAACTGAAAACATATCTTCTCATTGGATAAAACAATAACTCATTTTAAACTGGAACAAGTAATAACGTCTTGTTTATTTTTTATGTCGACATTAATACCTTTTTATATGGATTTATATGTTCTAACAGCTCGTTGATCTTAATACAAAATGTTATATTAAGTAGATTGTGCATGTTCTGTGTTAAACTATTTATTAAACTACCCGTCTGTGAATATGAAAGTGCAAGAAAGCAGCAGCCAAGGATTGTAAGAAAGACTGAGGGCTCCTATCGAAACTGAGTCATCCAGGCGTTTGGCGTACTTTAAATGGGTCTGGACCTTATAGAAACGATCAAATCTAAACCGGAGGATTTTAAATATCCTGTAACCGCTGAGCTTAACTTCTATTACAGGAGAGTCATTTTGACAGTTGCCAGGAAAGCAACCACAACACACAAATCGTCTTAGTTGGCACATGTCTGCTACTACACAGCAGCGTGCACGCGGACATGTGAGCGTTAAGGGTTTAATTGGCTCGCGGGTTCGGTTTAAGGAGCTAACGGACGGCGTCACAGGCGGCTAGCATCAACGTTAATTGCCCGGCGTCGCGCTGTTGACTACCGTTAATGTTCTTACCGTAGATCATGGCGAGTCCGGTCTCGTGCAAGAACCTAAAGCGCCGGTGCTTGAACAGCCATATCGTTAAAATGGTGAGCGTTAATAGCATGATGAATATGAGCAGGTTGGCACTGTCCTGTCGGTGGCTTTCCTCAGCCATTCTCTCCGTAGCGACGTTATCCAACGCATTGCTGTCTCCTTGGCTTCCGACGAGCTGGACGGACAGCAGAAAAGGCAGCAGGAGGACCACTTTCGACGGCTTAACACCGAGGGAGCGTCCCGGTGTCAATTCCATGGTGGCTTTAAGAGAAAAACGTTACATTTGTCGCTGAAATGGCTGTTGGCTTAGCTGGGAAATCGCCTACCCGAACGCAAATGACAGCTCCTTCCGCAGCCTTTACCAAAACAATGTGACTTCCGGTTCTTCAAAATAAACGTCAAGTCCGCACCGGGTGAAGAGCTGGGACCGACGGCGACTCGCCACGGCGTGTTGACTTCGCGCAGGATGTTGCTGCGCACTCTGGTGCACGATACGGAAAAAGTACAATACAAAATACGGTAAAATCCCACGCAAAAACCACAAACAACAATTCTGTGATCAATGAGAGAGAGGGAGACCACGTGGTATTTTGAAACATTCTGTTTATATGTTAACTCGTTTTTATCTGTACGCAACAGTTATGGACAAAATACTAACTACCTTAATTCACAGAGGCGGGCACTCTTTGTTTCAGGTAGAGCAGAAGCACATTTACAGCAAAGCTTCACATGTAGCAAAACTGCTTAATAGCGCTTCCACTCTGTTGATCAAGGCGGAAATTAGTCTTACTCGATGAGGAAACCGCACAAAGTATGGACGCCAGTAGGTCATTTTTCAACGAGGTGGTAGCATGAAAAGTGACATTCCCCCCTTTGTTTTCCTTTCAAGCTACTTAGACGGACTATAGTCGAATTTATAGCAGGGAGAGAACAACTTCAAAGTAAATGTAAACATAAAGGTATCACTTCCACCTATTGCTATTACTGGCATTGCTGGGTAAACAGAAAAACCTGTGTACAGGTTGACCGTGGACTGATGCAGAACAAAGTTAAAACGACTATTATTATCCTTTTTAAAAACATAACTTTAAATGCTGAACACCTAACCCTACCAGGCAAGTTGCAAAGGAGCGACTGTTCAATATTCTTCTCCATATTTTATTTTCTGTGTTAACTAAAATTATAATTTCTGGTCTCACAATGTGTAGGAGCAAGATACATAAGTGTCTGCATTATTTTCAACGAATTTAGGGGAAATACGTAATTGAACCCCTTTTTTGCATACAACCCTTGTACACTTCTCTGGAAATAAACCAAGATTAGATTATTATCAACAGAGGCCTTAGAAAATGTTAGCATATATTTCTACAGGTTGCCTGCAAATGAAATGATCTAACAAGTTAAGTCATCTAATAATAAAGATCATTTATAAAAGGTATTACTATTGTGTTTTTTTTAAGCATTGAATTTCAAAAATGCTTTTCTGATGTGTGCAACATTTATGTGTAGGTTTTTATATATTGTAATGAATTTCATGTCATGGTTCTAAAAGGTGTCTTAATTATAAAATGTACATATCAGGACATAATTCAAAACCCTGAGTTCTCTCAGAAAAAGTTTCATCATTTCAAAACCTAGTTTCAGCCATACTTTCCTTGTCAGACAAATGGTTTCATGTTGACTCAGAGGAGTCATCAGCTCTCTGCTAGCACGGACTTGACATTATTAAGTTCATCAAACATAGCTCTTGTTTTTTTTTTTTAATTTATTTGTACAAAACTGTAACTGTACAAAAGCCTTTTTGCCCAACTGGATTATGTTAGAGCTGGCTCCAAAAACAAAGCGGGTCAGTAATCCTTTAAGGATGAGTAAAGTTGGCTTTAAAATGTGTTTTTTTTTTTTAAATGCACAGCATACATCACACGAAAGGCTCCACTTCAGATGTAACTGAATCGATATTTCTGTAATGACTTCCTGTAACAGGAAACCCACGAAATTCAGCTTTAAGCGGCATGAAGTGAAAGTGGTACGTTAGATATAACATAATGCTTCTGTCTGATTTCAGAACAACCTGCAGTTTTGAAGGTTTTTATCCTGCCCGCTTATTTGTTTATTCTAATCTGCAATGCGACTTGTGCTGAAATAAAGTCCTAATTCTATCCTAACCTAAATGAAAATGCTAAATAAGGGGAGCTAAAAAAATAAATAAAAAAAACTGCTGTAAACCAAATGCAACAGTTCAGATAATTCATGTTTTACAATGTTTTTAGAAAATCTAAGCAAACCTCATATTCATGCAAACGAGCCAACCATTTATTTCCCGTGGTTTCATTCTCTGTGTGTTTAACAGGAAGTGAGACCAAGACTGTGACGTTGCCAACAGGCGCAGAACATCAAGTCAGAAGTACAATTAGACCTTTGCCCGTGTTGAACGCATCCACTTTCTTTCTGCCATCATGACGGTTAGAATCCTTCTGCTCCTCTATCTGTCAGGACATGTGTTTGCCCACGATCCACCTGGTAAGCTCATACTTTTGATAAATCTGTAAGTTAGAAGCTTTAAAAAATATGAATAACTTATTTTTACATGTGGTTTTGATGGGTAATGAACTGTAATCAGTTTTGCCGAGTGACTTTTATCATAATAAATTCATCTCAAAGAAAGTTGCTATCTATACCATTTATTTTTTGTATGAATACTTAAGATAATAGATAATTAGTTTATTATACACAAATTTACCTGAAATTTTTCTGAAAAAAACAGTCTGTTCAGGAAGCACAAAATGCTTGTGACTCATTGCTGTTATAAAGAAATATAAACTTCAGTTTAAAATCAATACTTAGTTCCTCAGTTCAGCTTCTTTTTTGTTTGTTGTAAATTCCCCTTCACGTCATTTCTTCCTTTGTGAAGCGTTTGTGTGTGTGTGGGTTTGTGTGTCTGAAAATGCCTGCTGAGGTCTATTTCAACCCAATGCGATTCTACAAGTACAAATGTTTTGTGACATTTGTTAAAATCTCTCTACTGTTCCATATAAATACAAACACAAATGTTAAATATCACTTAAATGCCAATGGAATCTTCACTTAGAATTTGGTTTTCTATGAAGTTTAATGATATATTGAACTTAACAAGTATTTACATTTGCTATGAAAGCAGGAACTGAATGCAAAAAGTCTGGGAATCAGACATACTGAAATTGAGATAATTAATATATTTTGTGTTCACTTCATGCAATAGCTTTTTTTCCCCAATCAGCTTATTTCCAAGGGTTTATTTTGGCTTTTTTGTGGCAAAACACAAAACTTGTGCTACTTAATTCTAGACAATATACTTGATTCTGATTGATCTCTTTCTGGGAATTTGGCAAGGGATCGTTTTATATCTGTCAGATAAAATGTCCTCAAATAGTGAATAGCAGCTTGATAGCATGTATTATTTTAGTGTATTCTCAAATATTAACGATTTATCGCAAGGATATCAGCATCAACTCTTGCCCTCGTGTAGCCCATATCACCACTACCAAACTGAAGAAAGACTTTCTTTCTTTCTATAATTTTTCTTTCTTTTTTCCGTACATGAAACACTTGGCCTTAATTATTAAAGCTAGTTAGTGCATGCAAGGAGGTCGCTACAGCTGCCATTAGAAGAATTATGGTTTATTGTGTACTTCCTTTCAGTCAGTGACATCTCTATCAAACAACCCTCTGCCAAAATTGTAAAATAAAGTGTTTATTAATTATAAGTTATATAAATATGAAATGCTGTTCATATCAGCATGGTGATAATGCTGTTGTTAAGAAGCAGAAAAGGTATTTGTGTATGTATTTTGTTTAACAAAAAGGTCTTATTACTCATGTCCCTGCTTTCATAGAGGAAAAAGCAGAGGCCCTCAATTATCTTGTTCACGGTTCACGGTCAAATTTTATTTAGTGAGCCATGTCTCATCACCTGTGAAAAAAATTCATGTTTAAATGTAACACTGCTGGCCTTTTATAATGAATGTCAACGTCAGGGTAAGACAATGATCACCAGAGTCACCGACACATTGTGAGTAATGTTGCATTTAAGGGAAACTGCAAGAAGCGTCAGACCCTGCTGGTTTCTATTCGTCACTATGTCTGTATTTCTATTTGACATAAAACCATCCTCTGTTGTCTTTCTCACAGATGTGGAGTGTTTAGTGGTGCACTTGGAATATGTCTCCTGCTCCTGGAATGAGCAAGGGACTCCAGAGGTCAATTACACCTTCTCCAGCAGGTCAGTAACGGATCGCTGACGGGTCTCTGTGGGCTCGTCCTGATCGTGTCTGGTGTTTCTGGTGACTTGGTCCGGACACCGTTTCCTCCTTTATAGTCGTTCCTGT